TATCACCGCCACCCTCTCTTCCTTTAAGACCCTCCGAAAACTCTGCTGCTTTGTCCAAGCTTTGTTCTAATAGCTTTTTATTCTTGGTTCTTTATTATATCACTGTGAAATGAAAGAAAAAAGATCTATTATACAAGCACTTTATAAAATGTAATTCTTTGTGATGTTAAGAATGCACACTGACTCAACACATACAGGGAGCTGTTGGTTAAAGTCTGAAGCTGTTTGTTTAATTGTCCTTAGCTGAGTGCGTTAAACAGTAATGGGAATGAGAAGAAGACATTCTCTTTGGATTAGTTGAAGCAAAATTGCAAATCTTGTCTTTGCAAACAACTTTCTGACTATGTTCTGGTTGCCAGAGGAAGTAGATTTGTCTCCACTTTTTCTTTCCTTCCCTCTTCTTCCCACTTCAAACATCAGCATTGAGCAGTTCTGTAGAAGTTACAGTGTATGAAAAAACCAGGGACGTTTGCTCCCCTTTTGCCTCAACCCTAACCCTCAGCCTCAGCAAAGAGCTCCCTGTGCCATACTAGCGTACCATTTTCCCTTTTGCCATTACAACGCTAATTAGTACTAATTGTCTCCCATTGGAGCCACACAGTCAACGTAGAGGAAATGTTTATCCCATCTAGCTAGGCTGCATCCCACAGCAGACTGCCAAATCTATGTTATGATCTCATTTGGGGCATCACGGTGGTTCAATACTTAGCACTGCTGCCTCACAGTGCCAGGGACCTACGTTCGATCCCACCCTTGGGCGACTGTCTGTGTGGAGTTTGCACATTCTCCCCCTGTCTGCGTGGGTTTCCTCTGGATGCTCCATTTTCTCCCCATAGTCCAAAGATGTGCGGGTTAGGATTGGCCACGCTGAATTGGCCCATCGTGTCTAGGGATGTGTAGACCAGGTGGGCTAGCCATGGGTTACAGGGATCGGGTAGAGGGGTGGGTCTGGATGGGATGCACTTTGCAGGGTTAGTATGGATGCAATGGACCATATGGCCTGCTTCCACACTGCGGGGATTCTGTGATTCTATGACCTTGTTCGTAGAGTGCTTGTGGTGCAGTGGTAGCATCCCTACCTCTGAACCAGGAGGTCTGCATTCAAGTCCCAGCCTGCCCTGGAGCTGTGTTATTACCTCTCCAAACAGAGTGGTTTGACTCAGTCAAGATTGTACATGTTATTTCTAGCACGAAGTATTAACGTGGTAAATGTGGGTATCAGACTGTGATTGAACCCCACAGGCACAGGGCAAATGGCAATTGCATTTGAGCAAGATTCCAGGATATCCTGTCTTCATTGGGAAACAAAACAGTGGGTTGTCAAATTGGGTCAATGGGTGATTAACCCTCATAAGGTGTCACAATTCTTCATTTTTGCTCATCTGGATTAGGAACTCCTTCATCAGCCTCTTTTGTCAGGGACAGTTAAGCTAAAACTGGCCCTGGTATTTTTTCTTGACTGTAGCCTTGCTCAGTTGTTTCAAGCAAAGACTGTTCATGGGCTTTTCAATCCCCACTCTCAGCTGTACTGAGCTAAACTGAGCTTCTTTCAAGCCCTTCACACCTCCTGGAATCTCCTTGAATCCAACACTTAGCTGCCTACTAATTCCTCAAACGTCCTCCAATGCTCCACAGCACAGGGCCATCCAACTGCTGTTAGTTTCTCTGAGTCCCTGGCACAGAACCCATTTAGTCCATCAATACAACAGCCAACAACAGCATGGTCTAACATGGAATCTACCTCAATGTCTGACAATTTCTTTCTCTGAGTGCCTGTAACCTTTGAACTCCTCTTCGTTGACTCCCAACCATGGGTAGCCATATTGAAAACCTTGCAATAAGCCCCTCCCTTGCTGTGGGACTTGAAAATTGAATGTCGCCACCTAGCAACTCTTATAACTGTTGTATGAAGTTTACTTTCTCGTAACACTGGAAACGGATTTAAGCAATGCTCAGGTCCCGGGGCAAGAGACTGGTTAGCTCAGCGATGTGGAATAACACCAACAGTGTGGGTACAATTCCCACACTGACTGAGGATACCATGAAGGACTGTCCTACTCAACCTTTCCCCTCGCCTGAGTCGTGGTGACCCTCCAGTCGTCTCTCTGTAATTGGAGAGTAACCCTGAAGTCCTCTGGAATTATTGCTAACTCTATTTTTTTTTAACCCAAGGACATTACATCAGTCTGTGTAATCTATTTCCTACCTCACGCATGTTCAGTGATGAGTTAGTAATTGGATATACATGGTACCAGTTTGGCTGCAAGAGTTAGGGCGCTATAAAGATGAATTTTAATGATGGTATTAGCTACTGGAAGGATGTTGTCTAATGGTGGACTTGGGGTACCAGAGGAATGCCTTTTATGGGAGGGTTGGGGCACTAGAGGGATGAACTTTAACACTGGAGTTAGGGTACTGAAAAAAAAGGTTTCAGTGGTGCAGTTAGAGTAATCGAGGGACAGACTTTTATTGAATTGTTTAATATATAGAGACATGGGAGGGCTAGGGAACAGTGGGATTGTCTTCACAGGTTAAGTATAATTCATTACGATATGCACTGTGTACCATCATTAAAATTCAAGCCATCGTACAGTCATACAGCAAAGAAACAGACCTTTCAGTCCAAGCAGTCCATGCTGATTACAAGCCCAAACTAAACCAATCCCACCTGCCTGTGCTGGGTCCATATCCCTCCAAACATTTCTTATTCATGTACTTATCCAAATGCCTTTTAAATGTTGTAACTGTACCCACATCCACCACTTCCTCTGGAAGTTCATTCCACACATGAGCCACTCCCTGTGTGAAAAAAATTGCCCCTCATGTCTATTTTTTAAACTTCCTCCTGTCACCTTAAACATATGCCCCTAGTCTTGAAATCCCCCATCGTAGGGAGAAGACATTTGCCATTCACCTTATCTATACCCTCTTGGTTTTATAAACTCTAAGTTCACCCCTCAACCTCCAGTGAAAAAAAAGTCTCAGCCTATCCAGTCTCTCCTTATAACTCAAACTGTCTATTCCTGGCAATAACTGGTAAATCTTTCCTGAACCATCTCCAGCTTAATAATATCCTTCCTATAACAGGACGACCAGAACTGGACACAGTATTCCAGAAAGACACCTCTCCAATGTCCTGTACAACCTCAACATAATGAAATTGAGTTAAAATTACTTTCCATCTAATTCTAATTGGCCAAGCTTCTTTCAGAAACTGTCTGCAATTGGATGTGGAGATTGTACAATCTGAGCCAAGTGCACACCTTTTCAACAAGCAGTAAATCCTATCGAATATGTCGACTGTAATTCCAGAAGATTAACAATGAAAAATTAATGCAAAATGTAACAAGAAACAAATTATTCAAAATCTGATCTGGGTAATGAAATTAACCTTGCTGAAAAAAGCCATAAGGTAATTGGGGTTTTGTAAGTACGATTGAGGAAACCTGTCACACACAAATAATAGCGCACAAAAGTTCAAAAACAGACATTATCCTTGGAAGGCATATCAAGTAATATGAGGTGGTAATTAGCCAGACTACACAAAGGAGCAGGAATCTCTATAGAGAGATATAGTTGGTTATATTGTTTGATGGGCACCACTCCACGGTAAACGTAGGGCAAGGTAAGGAGGCAAGTCTCACTATTTCTGCCAGAAATCTTAGCAAGAATCTTGACAGTCACAGGAACAGTAATAAAACCACATGACAAGAATTTTACAGGGAGTTTTGTTGAGTAATTATGACAGTAATCATTTATGATAATTGTGGCCGCATTCGTTGTAATAATTGTTGGAATAATCATTGAAAATGTTGAGAGAGTAATCATTGCAAGGATGCTGGATATAATCATTGCAGTAATCATTGAATTAATTATGGCGGCAATCACTGGAGTAATTGTGGCAAAAATCATTGTAGTTGTTGTGGTATTGTAGTAATTGACAAAGTATGGCAGAAATCATTGCAGAAGCTGTGAGAGCATTCATTGCAGTAATTGCGGCAGTATCATTGCAGTAATTGCGGCAGTATAATTGCGGCAATATCATTGCAATAATTGTGGTAGTATCATTGCAATAATTGTCACAGTATCATTGCAGTAATTGTGGCAGTGTTCATTGTAATAATTGTGGCAGTATCATTGCAGTAATTGTGGCAGCAACCCTTGCAGTAATTGATGACATTAGCACTAATTGTTGCAGAAGCTGGGAGAGTAAGCATTGCAGTAATTGTGGTTGCAATCATTTCAGAAATTGTTGCAGCAATTATTGTGGTAATCTTTGCACAAATTGTGATTGTAATCAATTGTGGCAATAATTGTTGGCATAATCATCGTAGTAATCTTTGCAGTAATTATGGCATCATTCATTGATGTAATCGTTGCATGCAATGTGGAAGTAATCATTGAAGTGTTCATGACAGCAATCATCGCAGTTGTTGTAGCAGCAACATTGAAGCAATGATTGAGGTCTTCAGTGCAGTACTCATTGTCATATTCGGATATTATGTTACAAAACAAGCCAGTGCTTGTGGTAAAACTCATAGCAATAATTCTGTTTGTCACCGCAGCAATAATTGTGGCAAGAAACATATTAGTAAATGTGGATATAATCATGGTCTGAGTCATAATTGTGGCAGTAATTGTAATAGTAATTGTGGCAGTAATTATGGTAGTAGTTATAAAATTGTGGCCAGGATCTTTCACAACAGGAAACATGATGCTGGTTTATGATGCTTGTGTTCTCGGTGCCTTGTTCTATGGCTGTGAAACACAGGCAATTCACAGCTATCACGAAATGAAGCTCAACAACTTTTATCTATGTAGTTTGTGGTGTGTTCTGGGCATCTTACGGAAGGGTAAAGCCATGAATTTGACATTCCTCTCGAAGGTAAAGTTGCCGCTCGACAGATGTCTTCTCTGGCTCAGTCATGATCACAGGATGGGAGGTAAATGCTTGTCCAAGAATTTTCTCTACAGTCAGGTAACCAGTGGAACACCCAAAGCTCTGTGTTGAGGGAACGTGCATGACATTGATTTACACAGCTGGGAAATACTAAGAGAGCCTGGAGAGAGAGTGCACAGGAGATGTTGCCTGAGTTGGAGAGTTTCAGTCTTTGAAGACAGGTTGGACAGCCTGGGGTTGTTTTCCTTGGAGCAGGGAAGACTGAAAGGCTCATGTTTGAGATACATAAAATTATAGGGGTTATAAATGGGGTAGATAGGAAGGATGGAGGGATCAATGACCAGGGGCATAGATTTAATGTAAGGGGCGGAAGGTTTAGAGGTGATGTGAAGAAAAGCCTTTTCACCGAGAAGATAGCGGGAATCTGGAACTCACTGGCTGTAGAAGAGACAGAGACCCTTATAACATTCGGATGTGCATTTGTGATGCCAGGGCATAGGAGGTTACGGGCCAAGTGCTGGGAAAATGGGATTGCAGTAGTTCGGTGGCTGTTTTTGACAGGGTGCCGACTTGATGGGCCGAAGAGCCTTTTTCCTTGCCAGAGTTTGCTATGACTGGATGACTATGACTAGCTGATGTCAGAGGAAAATGGAACACCATTTGTGAGCTGTTGTTGTGCCACCACAATGAGAAATGGCTACAGTGGCTTGGCAACACGTGCCAACATCAAAAAGAACAATCTGGTGATAACCACGTCACGTACAGGATGGGTGGCAGAACCTGCCTCTCTCAGATTGGCCTCTTCAAACATCAACAAAGCTGTGGCATGTGTGGACAATCCTCAATGCATTTGATTTGCTGCATGTCCATCATCTTAAACAGATTAGAAAGACACAGAAGACAAATAGGGAATATGTCAGTGATTTTGCCAATATTTGTGGCAAGAGCTGTGTCTGTAACCATAATAAGAATCATGGCAATAATTCTGGCAGCATGCCATTGGTGTTTTTTTTTAAATTTAGGTTCTATTAGGAGTTATACATTGCTTACACTTTTTCAGTTGTAATTTTTAAAAAATCTGCAGAATGACCGCAACACCCAGATGCAATGGAAGAACGGTTCTATAGAGAAATGTACGAAAAAATTTCTATATGCAGCGAGTGGTTAAGGTTGGAATGCACTGCCTGTAAATGTGGTGGATATTAAGAGGATATTGGATGATTGTTTGGAGAGAAATGGGAGATGGGCAAAAGGCAGGAGATTGGCACTGGGCATTAGAACTGGTGCAGATACAATAGACTGACCTCCTTTTGTGCTGTGACAATTCTGTGATTCTCTGTGCGAGAAGTGATTTATTTGTCAAAAGCAGGACTCTGCAGGTATGGGAATTTAACAACATAACACAGTTATAAGGAGCCCCAGGAACCAGTGATTGCCTTTGATCACAGTAAACTGGAATAAAATTGAGAGTTGTGAACTAAGGACTCTGAACCGTTCACATAGGGACAGAACATCTCAGTGGCACTGCCTAAACAAAGCTGGGACAGTCATCATTTGTAAGAAATCACATCAAGGTGAATTTATTCATATTACATTACCAATTTGCTTCAGTTTTGGCTTCAAAATATTGTGGTGATCTGTTCAGTCCTGTTATGACCAATGATCAATTTATTTTGTTTCTTCTGTGGGGCCAAGTCCAGCATTCATTTCCCAAATTTAACTTTTTTTTTCCTTTATCCATTCACGGAATGAGGGCATCGCTGGCTCAGCCAGTATTTATTGCCCATCCCTAATTGCCCAGAGGGCAGTTCAGAGTCAACCACATTGCTGTGGGTCTGGATTCACATGTAGGCCAGACCAGGTAAGGATGGCGGTTTCCTTCCCTAAAGGACATTAGTGAGCCAGACGGGTTTTTCCAACAAAGGATTCATGGTCATCATTAGATATTTTATTGAATCCAAATTCCACCATCTGCTGTGGCAAAATTTGAACCCGGGTCCCCCAGAATATTATCTGAGTCTTGGGATTAATAGTCCAGCGATAATACCACTAGGCCATCGCTCCCCTTGAGGCTGGTGGTGAACCACCTTCTTGAAGCGCTACCACCCTTGCAGTGACTGTAGGTAGGGAGGGAGTTTAAGCTGGGAATTTCAGGATTCTGACTCATTACAAATGAGTAATATTCCCAAGTCAGGGCAGTCCATGAGCTGGAGGGAAATTTGGGAGTGATAATGTGCCCACAACCTGCCCTGGTAGTGCGGGTTAGAGAGGAGGAAGTTGGGTAGTGCTATAGAATAGAGAGACCTAGGGGTTCAGATACATAATTCTTTGAAGTTTGTGTCACATGTAAACAGGGTGGTTAAGAAAGTGCTTAGCAGGCTTGCTTTCATTGCTCCGACCTTTGAGTATAGGAGTTGAAGTAGTACAGGATGTTGGTGAGGCCTCTTCTGGAATACTGTGTTCAGTTCTGGTTTCCCTGTTATAAGAAGGGTATTATTAAGCTGGAGAGGGGTCAGAAAAGATTTACCAGGATGTTGCTGGAAATGGAGGGTTTGAATTATAAAGGGAAGCTGGATAGACTGGGACATTTTTCATTGGAGCATAGGATGTTTAGGGGTGACCTTTTAGAGATTTATAAAGTCATGAGGAGTACAAATAAGGTGAATAGCAGGTGTCATTTCCCTAGGGTGGGGAATTTCAAGACTTGGGGGCATATTTTTAAAATGTGAGGAGAAATATTTGGAAAAGACATGAGGGGCAACTTTTTTCCACAGAGTGCTTCGTGTGTGGAATGAACTGCCAGAGGAAGTGATGGATGCAGGTACAGTTACAATGTTTTAAAAGACATTTGGATAAGTACATGAATAGGAAAGGTTTGGAGGGATATGGGCCAGGAGCAGGCAGGTGGGACTAGTTTAGTTTGGGTTTATGGACTGTTTCTGTGCTGTATGACTCTATGCAAAAACACCATCACTAGGTGTGGGGAAGAGAGGACATACTCTTCATATCTCAATACATTTACCTTACAGGCAACTTCAGGAAGCATTCCATTTGTTTGTGATAGGTATTGTTGGCACAAATGTTATTTGCAATGCATCAGCTCAAGGCATACTTTTTTTGGATGTTGGCTAGCTCAGTTGACTGGGCGGCTGGTTTGTGCCACAAAGTGAAGCCAACACTAACGCTACCATGAAGAACTCTCCCTTGCATCTTCTCCCCTCACCTAAAGCATGGTGACCCTCAGGTTAAACCACCACTAGTCATGTCTCTCTCTCTAATAAGAGAGCAGCCTATGGTAAGGGAAGACTATGGCAACTTTACTTACATGCATTACTGACCCAAAACTGAGCTGTTATCTTTGTGACAATACTTGCATGTCAGACTGTAGAATCGGCATGCCATCAAGCTGATCGATCCCAATAACCAACGGATCAGATCCAAGCTCTGCAATCCTGCCACATCCAGTGGTGTGGATAAATCAAAGCTAACAGGAAGAGGGGCCTCCACAAATCGCCCCATCTTCAATGATAGGAGGAGTCCAGCACCTCAGAGCAAGAGATACCTTGGATGCAAGCATTTTCAGCCAAAAGTGCTGAGTAGTTGATCTATCTCGGCCTCCTCCAGAGAACCCCAGCATCGCAGACGCCAATTTAATTCATATCAAAAAGTAGCTGGAGGCGTTGTACACTGCAAGAGGCCCGGACAACATTCCAGCAATAGTACTGAAAACTTGTGTTTCTGAATTTATCACGCTCCAAGCCAAGCTCCTCCTGTACACCTACAGCACTGGCATCTATCTATAATGTGGAAACTTGCCCAGCAGACCAATCTAGTCATTTACCAGTCTGTCAATCTGCTGCGCACCATCTATAAAATGCAAGTCACCCATGGCTCCTTTGACAGCACCTTCCGAACCTGTGACCATTAAAAGGACAAGAGCAGTGAACGTTTGGAATCCTACAAAACCGCACTCTAAGCTATGCACCATCCTCAATTGGAACTTAATCTCCTTTCCTTTATTAGCACTGGGCCAAAATCCTGGAACTCCTTTCCTAACAGACTTATTCATGCATCTACTCCATTAGAGCAGCAGTGGTTCAAGAAGGCAGCTCACCACCACTTTCTAAAGTGCAGTTAGAGTTGAAAATTAAATGCTGGACCAGCCAGAGATACCATGAATGAATAGCTAAAAAATTATATAATTGTCCCACCCCAATATTAGCAGCTCCTATTCCTGACTGTTATTCATTGACAGATGTGGATGTCATGCAATGACAAATTTGGGATTGAAAGCGACATGTCTTATAGTTAAATAGCTACCTTGATTCCAATGTAGCTAATAGCATCTTTTACAAAGTTGTTGATAATCCCAAGTGCCCAACAAAGGGGAAGAAGCATAGAGAAAGAGAGAGAGAAACCTCACAGAGAAAACCACGCAAATGAAGAACAGACAAACCTTCAAAATGCCTGTGGCCTGCAATCACAGAAGATTTATTGGGCCAATCGAGAATTAAAACAAATGTTTCTTTTTCCTGTTCCCATTCGACTCTGAGATATAATAAGTCTCTTAGATCCTAATAACACACAAGATCATTTTATGAAAGCATGATGTTCAGAGGCCCCATTATTTAGACAGATTCCTGACCATTGGTGGCTGTTTATGGCAGTGGTCCAGTCACCAAGCAGTCCAAACCACTTGCTTTCCTGCTGTCTGTGTCAATCGACATGGGATGTTGACATTGTCCTCTCTCACCAGCTGGTACCTCCCAGGTGGGACAGTCGATGTTTAGGGCTCTTACAACATTCCTGTCAACTTCCTTGAAGTGCGGACTTGGAGGTCCTACTGGCCGCCTGGGTCCTGTCAGCCCACTGTATGGGAAGATGCTTGGCTATGCTTACAGTTTCTGTCCTGTAGACATGCCTGAGCCAACAGAGTCACTAACAAACACAGAGAACACTGGAGAAACTCAGCAGGTCTGGCAGCATCTGTGGAGAGATGAACAGAGTTAATATCTCGAGTCCAGTTTGACTTCTTCAGAAGAT